CCCCCCCCGCGAGCTGGAAACAACACAAGTACTTCACAAAACTTCTCTCAGATCTGTCTTCTCCAGCTTGAATTCTAACAACTAGTCGCCATTAGCTATGGCGATTAGGGCTTTTCTTCTGTTTCTCATCTTATTAGTTTCATCTTACACGACTTTTGCTCTTTATGAAGATCAAGTTGGCCTCATGGACTGGTAATTTTTGCAATTTCAAATTTCAATCACTATACTTAACAAAATTGCTAATACTTAATTACTATATGCTTAGATAAGTAACTTGTATAATTTGTGATTGTGTAGGCATCAACAGTATATTGGAAAAGTGAAAAAGGCAGTGTTCCAGACACACAAGGCCGGTAGGAAACGTGTTGTGGTATCTACTGAAGAGAATGTAATCGCTGCCCTCGATCTTCGTCACGGCGAGATTTGTGAGCTTATTTTTAAAAATAATTATTTTTATTGAATTAAATGCTTATTAGTTGAAATTGTTGCTTATTTTGTTCAATCGCGTATTTGTTTTTGCAGTTTGGAGGCAGGTTTTGGGAGTCAATGATGTCATTGATGAAATCGATATCGCCCTCGGAAAATGTATTTTTTTTTTCTCTTGCTAGTTTTAGTTATTGGAAAATTAAATTTGTTTTATAGACAAGTATATGCTCTTCTTATATGGTAATCTAAGCGGTTTTATTTAGGACTATACAAAAAGAAAATGACTAGCTTAGTATTAGTTTGTCTCCATATTTATTTTTCGATGGGATAATGGTAAAAACACAACTTAAGATAGTGGAATAATGCCTCTGAATCATTAATGATGGACCATGTCAAAGACTTTTTCTTTAGATAAAGTTAGAACTTAGAACTTAGAAGAAGAATTACATCTATAATATTTCAAGTTAGTTGGACTCTCTATATATGTTACTTTACTAGACAGAAGTAAACAGCATTAATCTCGTTAGCGTCCCTGCTGCGAGGAAAGAAGCACATAGATTATCTTTGCCACTGGCTAATTCTTTTTAGTAGAGAACTCGCCTGAATAGTTCAGGTCTCTTTTCCGAGTTTAAGGAACACAGGCTTGATATCTTGGACTCACTGGAAAAGATTGAAAATATTCTCCTTTTTCCATCAGTAGTTTGAAGGGGGAGCCTCAGCGCTATGGTAAACATTGTCGTTGTGTGACCTCGAAGTCACCTGGTAAAGCCGTGAAAATAGCCTCTCACAGAGTACAATAGACCTAATGTAATCCAGCGCCAGCCCTTCCCTGGACCCCGCACATAGAGGGATCTTAGTGCATTGGTATCTTAGTGCATTGGATTGCCATTTTTTTTTTCCCTTCAGTAATTTATTTTATAGTTAAATTTTGAAGGGTGGGCTCATTTTTAACTTGATTTTAGTCATCCTTCCTAAAACTTTAATTTAGTATCTTATGATTTTTCCTAGCTTGATGCACCTTAGTCTTTGGAGGACAGGATGTGCAACTTAATTCTGTTGGTGGAAGAAATGTTCACAATAAAGGCTAATGTTGTAATATCATAATATTATTCGGTACAGGATTTGAGTGCTAATAGCTACCAGACTTCTTATTTCTTTTCAGATGTTGTCACACTATCATCAGGAGGAAGTATCTTAAGAGCGTGGAACCTTCCTGATGGCCAGATGGTGTGGGAGTCATTCCTTCTTGGATCAAATCCCTCGAGATCATTGTTGTTGACTCCAGTAAGTGCAAAGAATTCTGATATACTATTATACCTTACCTTACCCAAAAAAAGAGAAGAGAAGGAATTCTGATATACTATTTATTCCTATTACAAATACTTGTGAAATGTTCTTACCTTTCTTGTTAAAAAACCCAAATATTTGTGAAATGTGTATTAGCACCAAAATTCTACCCTTTGCATTTTGCAACTTATAGTTGAATTTAAGTTTAGTAATTTCACGTAAGATGCTTGGAGATAATGTTATTGCCATGTTGAGTAAGAGGCTGAGAAGTCAGTAAGATCGATATACAAATCTTTTATTTTCTTTGCTCAGGCAAATTTTGGAGCTGACAAGGACAATGTGATTCTGGTTTATGGAAGTGGTTACCTGCATGCTGTTTCAAGCATTGACGGTGACATTCTCTGGAAGAAGGATTTGGCACAGAAAGGGTTTGGAAACTTCACTAGACTAGTTTACTGTTCTTCTGACTCTTGATTTATGAAAAAGGTCATCTAATCTGTAGTTTCTTAACTGCAGCATCGACGTTCATCATTTGGTTCATCTCGAAGAAAGTGGCATGTTATATGCATTAGGAGTTGGTGATAGGTCCCAATTTGAAGCATATGTAATCAATGTTGGGAATGGTGAACTGCTGAAGCATAGTAGCATGGAATTTCCTGGTGGATTTTCTGGTGATTTGTCATTATCTACAAGTGACAAAGCAGTGGCGCTTGATTCCTCTGGGTCAATCTTAGTCACTATAAGCTTTGTTGGTGGAGAAATTAAATTTCAGGAGGTCCATATTTCCGATCTTCTTCAGGGTTTTTCAGGAGTAGCAGTATTATTACCTTCCAAACTTGCAGGAATGGTTGCCGTGAAAATCAATAGATCTTTGTTATTTGTGAAAGTGAAAGATGAAGGCACACTGGAGGTAGTTGACAGAGTCCCTCATGTTGAAGCCGTAAGTGATTCTTTGTCTTTCGCTGAAGGCCAAACCGCTTTTGGGCTGATTCAGCAAGATGGTGGTAAAATTCGTCTCACTGTGAAGTCTAGTGATGATTGGAAGACCCATTTTCTCAAGGAAAGTATTGAAGTCGACCAACCGAGGGGACTTGTGCACAAGGTCTTCATCAACAACTATATCCGAACAGATCGAACTTATGGATT